TGGGTTCTGAAGTTCTGCTCCAGCTGAGTCCAGAACATGGGTTCTGAAGTTCTGCTCCAGCTGAATCCAGAACATGGGTTCTGAAGTTCTGCTCCAGCTGAGTCCAGAACATGGGTTCTGAAGTTCTGCTCCAGCTGAATCCAGAACATGGGTTCTGAAGTTCTGCTCCAGCTGAGTCCAGAACATGGGTTCTGAAGTTCTGCTCCAGCTGAGTCCAGAACATGGGTTCTGAAGTTCTGCTCCAGCTGAGTCCAGAACATGGGTTCTGAAGTTCTGCTCCAGCTGAGTCCAGAACATGAAGTCCTCCTCAGCAGGTCTCAGTCACAGAAACAGTTTTTCTTGTTCTCTGGAACAAAACTGAACCTGGATCAGATTTTAACTGAAACATGAAGCAGCAGCAGCTGAAACGGGCCAGAGTTCTGTTCCTGAGTCCAATTTATTCAGAACCACATTCCTGCAGGGTGAGGTCAGAACCCAAACGTTGGACTGCATCCTTCTCCTTAATATTCTGCTCCATCATTAAACATGTCAGCGTGGATCAGAGTGTGTTTGTGACGTGTGATGTATTCATGGGGGCGGGGTGGGGGGGGTAGCTGCTCCAGTCACTCTGAGGCCCGAAAGCTCCGCCCCCACCGACCCGCCGCCGACCCACCGGGCCCACAGGCTGCGGCTGTTTCCTGCCTCTGATGTTCTGAGGAACGGCTCAGAGTGAGAACTGCTGGTTTGATGCCAGAACTTTATTATTCAGGTTCATTCTGCTGTGTGTGTGTGTGTGTGTGTGTGTGTGTGTGTGTGTGTGTGTGTGTGTTGGACATAAAAAATGCAAAATGTTTTTTTTTTAGGAAAATGAGTGATTTGCCCTCATTGATCCTTTATCTGAAAAAAACATCAATTCACAAATATTGATTGAAATTGTTAGTAATGGAGTTAATAATCAGATATAAAAATGTTTCGGGGGATTATTTATTTATTTATTGGTTTCTGACACCATAGCACGATTAAACATTCCCCGGGTCAAACTTACCCAGAAACATTAATGCTGTTCGTCAGAAACAAAACATAACAGGAGGGTTAAAAAATAATTATTTGGTGCACATCTGGAGTCAACCCATATCACGATGGTTGCCACAGCTAACTGACCTTGGAAATCCCCAAAATAGCTACAAATCAGCCAATTTTACATGTATTGAGCTTATTCATGCAGTTGACAGTCACCCTCAGCACACTGTCTGAGCTTGAGCACATCAAACAATATCCAATATTCAAAATGGTTACAACAGGGGTCTCAAATCTTGTTCCTCGGGGGCCTCTTTCCTGCATGGTATACTTGTTTCCTGCTCCAAAACACTGAATTCGGTGATTGGATTACCTCTTCAAGCTCTGCAGAAGCCTGTTAGTCACCGATTCATTCAAATCAGGTGTGTTGGAGCAGAGCAACATGAAAAACATGCAGGTTAGTGGCCCTCGAGGACCAGGTTTGGACACCCATGAGCTACAATGTCATAAGATGATCTTATAAAACTGCGGCCTGAGACGCAGCAGACAGTATGTGTTCCTTCAAGGAATGCTGGGTCTTAGTTGCAGCAAGCCACTCAGTATGGCCACCGTGTGACAAAGTCAGCAGTTCAGTGATAATGGAGCAGCTCATGAATGTGTGTAATGACCACATCATTAAAAGCTTTTGCGCTTTGCTTTTCGAGCAAGAGAGAGAGCGAGAGAGTGAAAGAGAGATTGAGATAGAGATATATGGAGAGAGAGCTCTTAATGTAAAATGTCCACAGGACTCAGATGAGCTAAAGCTGTTTTATGCCACATTTACCCCCCTTTTTTATGTGATAGATGACAATAAAGTTAAAAACCAAGAGCTCCACACCAAATCCAATAATTGTGTAAGTCGAGGCCAAGATTGGGCTTTTATTTTTATTTTTTTAATTCAACCGTCTGAACAACTCCTTGTTTTATTAATTAGCGTGTTATCTTTGTGCACAGCCAAGGACAGCTGGGCTCTTTTAAACAAGGGAGGAGGAGTGTGAGCGTGAACTACCTGCACCCCAGAGAAGACAAATCCATTCATCATGCAGGGTGTTTCAAACAAATGCACCGCTATTCAACCGTCCATGTATTTACCTTCAGGTACCACTTGATTACACCAGCATCTCTTTCGAAAATAACAACAATTTAATCCAATTCACTGGCTGCAGTCTGTAAGCTGAATCACTGGCTATCTGCAACCATCAAGACCCATTACTCTGAAATGGCACTGTTATGCTTTTGTTTTGCATTTTGTTCTGTAATGCCGAACGTTCTCGTGTTCCCTGCGAGAGAAAAGCCCCAATTAGATGTCCCACCTTGAATGAAAAACTGCGAGATGTAATTTTTGTGTTTAAGGGCAATGAAACTGAATACATCTGCTGATCTTGGTAATTAGATTGACTTAATCCTGTTAGGTTTTTCTTTCTGCCTCTCTGTCTTGTTTTAATGACTGCACTCGCATTGGCAGGAGACATGAGGAGGAACACAGACAAGTGCAGCAATATGATGAGAGGAGTGCAAAAGGGAAAGATAGGAAGAGAGAAAAGCAGACATTTTCCAAAAGGCCAAACAAACATAGTCTGTGAAAACATGTGATGTTCAATAATAATCATCACTAGGATAAGTAGAAAAACCAAACTCCAGGTCCATCTTCATGGCAGTAAATCTGCCCCCCATTTAAAATTGATGGTAGGCGGTTAGAAATACAAAGACAAATCTGTTACTTGAGGTAACTTAGCAAGGCTCTTTGAAAAGCTGAGCATCTTTAGTGCTCATTAGTCATCAGCCTCAGCTTTTTGAAAACCTCTCGTCTGTTTACACGTGTCTTACAACACCTGCTGGTACCGGGGAGCAGAAAGTGATGCACGGCCTCGGGGACGCATCCTTTTTCCTCTCTCGCTGACGAGGCCGCCGCTCCTCCGTGCTGAAGAGCATTACACCTCCTGCACAATAATTATAAGCAACGTACACAGCTGTGAAGCACCGCAGAGCCTGGTATAACTAATGTGTTTACAAGCGGCTAGAAATGTTCAACGCTGTCCCGTTATTTTTTAACCTGCAGAGATTAAGAGAAGTTCATTTAAACTCTGTGCAGGTGTGGATTAGACATAAAGAGTCGTCTGGCTTTATGTGTTGTGTATTTATTGGAATGAACGCTGCCTCCTGCATAATAAAACTGTGTTGTTCTTACATATTAATGGGAAAGTGCTTTTTGTTTTCATCCTGAAAAGTTGACCTTATTAATGCATGAAGAAATAAATGTGTGCATATTGTAGGAAAACTCCGCCCAGCCTTTTGTATTCTTGAGTATTTAACTCATTTGGGAACTTCGTTTCTAGTGTTTTGAATTATTTTTAAGAGGTGCAGCTCACCTGGTCATGCTGCACCTGGCTGCTGTAAAAGAACCTCAGCTGGTTGTGATGGGGATGCTTTGAGAAGCATTTATGCTGTCTGAGACGTCACATACGCCTCACTTAACATTTACATTTTGATCGTTTTGAGGCCTTTTTGAAGAAGCCAAAATGAAATTAAATAAGATGGCTCAGTTAGCACTGATGCCTCACAGCAAGAAGATCCTGGGTTCGCTTTGTGATTGCGTGGGTTTTCTCCGGGTACTCTGGTTTCCTCCCACAGTCCATAAACATACTGTACATTAGGTTGCCTTTAGGCTCAGGCCTGCCTTACAAAAGACATCTGTGATCTCAATGAGATTTGAGTGATTAAATAAAAGGTTAATAATAATAAAAAGTATACCCAATACTTTTTGTTTTTTATTTATATATCGCTCTGTAATTTTTTCTGGATCAATCATACTCATTTTTTGCCACCTTATGAAACGTTTAAACACCATCTTTTAATGTCCTGATGCATCTCAGTAATCCAGGAAGAAAAAATCAAGAAGAAAAAGTAGGTCCTATGGATGGGTTCTTCTTTAGTGAAACGTTTCGTCTCTCCTCCAAGAGACTTCTTCAGTGTGATGAGTTTCAGGTGAACTCAGTCTTATAAGCCCTGCCTCCACATGGTGGACAAACAGGTTAGTCACATGCAAAAGAGGGCCATCGCCTAACAATAGGCTTGATTAGCTCTATTTAGTCACAAGTGCCCTCTTTTGCATGTGACTAACCTGTTTGTCCATGTGGAGGCAGTACTTAAAAGGCTGAGTTCACCTGAAACTCATCAGACTGAAGAAGTCTCTTGGAGGAGAGACGAAACGTTTCACTAAAGAAGAACCCATCCAGAGTACCTACTTATTTTTTTCTTTTTGACCATCTTTTAATGTTTTTGATTATTTTCCCCCTCATATGTCATTTAAATCCATCATGGTTGCAAACAAAACAAAAACACAAATAAGTAGAATATCAGTATTAATTCTCTGCGTCTTTAGGTTTGGGTCCTGTGGATGAAGTGAAAGCTCCGAACATTTTTTTTCGCTGCCTTTCCATCAGCCTCCCATTCTGCTCGTTTTGCTCCCCTCACTCTACACTCTACATCTCTATCCGACAAAGGTGAGAGATTTTTAACCTTCGCTCGGGCGTCGCTCCTCATCAGTTTTATCTCCTCTCCATCCCTCCCACCCAGCGCGGACATCACAGTCGTGTAAACTCGGTGAGAATACCACCCAATTTACAGGAGCATTGATTTCACCGCCGCTTCTCTATGAATATATTTCCTATGCATGAACGCGCACAGTGTTTCTATTCTTTCCACACAGCGAGTCTAAGCTTCAAGTCAAACTCTCTGTATCCAATTTCACCTAACAGAGGTGTTCATTTCTCAGACCGTCGATGAATTGTAGCTTACGCTGGTGATAAAGCAAGGCAATGTGCTCTGTGAGTGAAGCCTGCTGGGGATGAATTTTTGATTTTCCTCTACCTCCTGAAACAAAAAAGAGCAACAAAAAACAAAACAAAAAAGCTCCTGTGTGTTTCTAAATCTCACAATGTGAATACATAACTTGAACAGGACCAAACTTTTATTGATTTATTAAAGAGGTGTTGACTTTCATTTTGTGCTTCCCTGCATATTTGGCTGCCAGCAATCAGCGTATTTACATTTCATTAATAAGAGAGCCCAAAGCAAAACAGATCCTTAATCAAAGCAGATGAGAGAAGACTTACCTGAGTCTGCTGGAGCAAGGATCACAGGTGGAGCAGTCACAGGCCTACCTGGTCCACTTTTATTGTTCTGAACTTGTGCTCTGAGCTCTAAAATCTGCTCCGTGCGCTGATGTGAGAGAGAGAAAGAAAACCAGTTAGTGCTTTATTATCATGGTTAATAACTCATCAGGAGGGAAACAAAGATGCACCCTGGGAAACCTTACACACAGAAAAAAAAATCCCCTTTCCTTCCTCACTCTGCAGGAATCTTCTGTTTTCAGCAGTTCATGTTGTGTTGTTGTTTCCTCTCCTTTTCTGCTCCTTCTGGTCCTCCCTCCCCTCCTTTCTCAGCCGGTTGTCGAGGCGACAGAGTCAGGGAGAGACATTTCTTCCCAGAGCTCTCACTCTTTCTCCCTCTCTCTCTCCTTCTCGTGGCTTTGTTCAGCCTGCTCTGCCGACTGGCTCAATAATCTGTGAAGCACAAGGAGGGGAGGGAGGAGGGGGGGGCAGCTCCAAATCTCTCTGCACGCCTCTGCGCTCCAGGAGGAGCCATGAGGGAGTTTTTACCTTTTTGGGACTGGTATTTTGAAGGAATCTGTCCTTATTTTGCTAATTAAAGCTGACCAAGAGGATGTATGTGTGTTGATGCTGCAGCTGAGCCCCCTCCCATCACATTGGAGTTGGTACAGTCTGGTCCAGTCTCAGTTGGTGGGGTGTGCTATAAGAGGGTGATCAGAATAACTGGTTACAGTGAGGGGAGAAGTATAAGCAATTAAAATCCTCACCTAATGGGAGTTTACAAGCTTTAGTATTTTACTTAAAAAGAAAAAAAATCACTCTCCATTTTGGGGCTCTTACATCAGCTGTTCCATCTCTGCAGCACCTCTAATAAACACGACAGTGACGACGGTGAATTCAGCACAGATTTGACTCATCGTGTTTGCTTTGCGGTGCCAAAAAATAAAAATAAAATAAAGCATTCTACTCTCGCTCACACTCTCATCCATTAATGATCAGCTCTCCAGTTTTTCTGTAACACATCCATCACTCCTCTTCTCAAACTCTGCTCATGTGGAACTCGGACCGCCCTGAAACCAAAACATGTTCATTTATCTTCTGCAAAGCAATGGTTACATTCGAATAGAGACTTTCAAGAGGTTTCAAACCGCCACTTGTGATTCTGATGTGTGTTTTAATCTTCAAAACACCCCCGTCTTCATCCCGACTAACTGTGACAAGCACAGCTGAACAAAAAGACTATTTTTAATCACGATCAATAAGACAGTTTTGCACCACTGAGTGACACAGAAACGTCTTAAAAAAAAGGCAGAGCAGATGCAGAAAAACAGACTTTTCACCAAAGGCAACGTCCATCGTTCAAGTTTAATAAGTAATTCTGAACTCACTTAACAAACATGTATCACAAATATTGGCAGGCAGGAACTGAGAAGGCAGAAGACATATTATACATTTAAATACAAAATATACATTTATTCACACCTCCACACATGCATACTCATCACGCACACATGCAATCTTAAACAGGGCTTTCAGGAACAGAAAAATAAAAGCTACTGTTTGATAGTCCCATACAAAAAGCTAAAGATACTACAGTTGTTGTGGGAAGTGATAGAACTGAAGAACATCTAACAGATGGAAAATCTGAATCTAAGCAATAGATAAATAAACGAGTGGCACAAAGGGAGTCAGCTGTGGGTCAAATTAGGTTGTTTAGATTCGAGTTGGGAACACCAAAACGACTGCATGCAGGAAATCACTGCAAACTGAGGATCTCCAGTGGCAGCTTGGACGGCTGAAGAGTTAATGTGGGGAAAAAAAGTATTTTGTTGTTTTCCTGTTTACAGTGAAACATGGAAAGATCTGAATTTGAGAGGTGAAAATAATCTGGATTTAAAGTCAGGCATGTCCACTCAGTTAAATTTAATCCTTTTACTGTCAAGTTACTTAAAGCTAAATATGATCCAAGAGGATCAACATATCTAACAGGGAAACACACGTTTGTCCTTTACATAATGTCAAAACAAACTTTTATCATGATCAAACAGTGCAAATGTTCTGATATGTGTCTGTGGAGAATAAAACCAGTCTCACTTGAAGTTGAAAATGACAGCAGAGGTGTGCTGCAGTCTGATTCAACAGAGGTGGGTTTTATTTTTATGTCTGTTGAGTAACAAATACTCGTTTTAACACAACTTCAGCACCTTCTTAAAGGCTCAGAGAAAGACCAGTTTACAGTGTTAATACCTGCGCAGTGAGGACACGTGAACTCAGCATCTTCACACTTACAGCTAAAACTTATCATGTTCTCATCACGGGGGGAAAAAAAGGATTTTGTTCATGGCTGTTTTTTTCACATTTTTAAATTAAGAACAACACTTTTGGTCTGAGTTTTTGACTATTATTTCTCTCTACATTAACATTCACAGTGAGAAGCGACGGTTGATGGGAAGGAGTTGGTCTAATTGGTCCAGGAGAAAACTGTGGTGCTGCAACACACACCGTCTCTACAGTAAACACACATGCACTCTCACACACTCCATCACTACTTCTGCTACCACAGGTGGGTCTCCCGGATCTCAGAGATGATATTATTGGCTTTTTTGAGTGCCTAAAGGGAAAAAAAGCATATAAGTTGGTTATATCTCTGGCTTTAACAGTAGAGGGGAAAAAAAAAACTCGTCGCTTCATCTAGATTTACCTCGAGCATCTGAGCGACCTCGGTTCGCTGCTGCGCGGTGTCCTGCGACTCGATGAGCAGCTCCTGAAGCAGAGGCTGCTTGTAGAGCTGACCCACCAGCTCGCTCTGCAGGTGCTCCTTCACGTGGTTCACCAGGAAATGCATCACGGTCTTTGGCACGCTGCGGGCGCACAGATCCGAGTCAGGAGTCAGGAAATGGCTTTCAGTAATATGACACGGGGGGGTGGGGGGGTTTGGGATCAGCTCCAGTCAAATCAAACCTGTCTTGGATGCTTTTGCGGACGATGAGGAAGTAGCTCTTGATGAGCCGCTGGATGACCTCACAGTCCCTCTGCTCTTTGCTTGTCAGTCTGCGGGCTACAGGGACAGCCTGGCAGAGAGAGAGAGAGAGAGAGCAAAGTCAAACTCTGCTAGCCTGCAAGAATTAAAGCCTAAATGTTTGGGTCTCCTAATGATCCCATCACTCACCGTGTCAAGCAGGTTAATGGCCTGGCCTTTGCTCGGGCTGCCAAAGCCTGTGGCGGGGGGTTTCTCATCCGCGACCTTCTCGTTCTTCCAGCGTTTCCCTCCATCCATGGCCTCTGCCTGCAAGCATAAAATCCAAATAAAATAAAAAAAATGGTTGAAAGGTTAAAAGCAGTTCTGACTGACTCTGGCATTCTACTTTGTAATGTCTGCATGTGAACTGTAGACTTTAGTGAGCAAAACGCTTAACCTGCTGACTGTTTACAGACGCTGAGACCTGCGCTGCGTCTGTAAAATCTGGATGTTTTGTGTTGATGTAGGCAAGCTCTATAGCTACTAGATGATGCACCTGATGGAAAAAAAAACAGATCAATTTTAGGACTTGACTGGCGCTAATATTTAGCATCAAAGATGACTTTAACGAAGCTGTGGATTACCATTTCATTAGTAATGGGCAAACGCTTCCTCAATAATCCGGTCACTACTTCCACAATAGAATCGTGTAGTTTGGGAAATCGCAGAAGCTCCTAGAACAAACAAAGTCCCGGTGCGTTGACAACAATGCAACTTTATTTTACTGTACAACGAGTGTCTACGTCCCCATCTCTGGGCTCACCTGTGTGCTAAAGGAGGAGCAGTGCTGGATGATTCTCTGCAGCTCTTCGTGAACAAGCTCGACGCAGCGCATGCTGGGCTCCTCTAGACGCTTAATTTGTCGCTTCACCAGCAACTCAAATGACACCTCGGGCACAAAGAGTGCAGGTCGTGGACCCTGCAGGGCGAGCCCATCATTATGCCCGTGGTTTCTCCAAAACGAGAGAACCTGACCAGAATATTGAAGAACCTGCACCAAACAGAAGCAGGAAGCTCACCGTAGCGTTGCGGATGGCAGTGAGGATATCCAGATCAGTCAGTCCTCCCAGGGGGTCGATGGACTGCAGAGTGCGGCCAAAGGTCTCATGGAATATGTAACAGATTCGAGCTCCTCCGCAACTGCGAGGAAGAAGGGTTCAGCTGTGACACCAGTGCTGTGTGTGTGTGTGTGTGTGTGTGTGTGTGTGTGTGTGTGTGTGTGTGTGTGTGTGTGTGTGTGTGTCAACTGTGTTAATGGAGCCCAAATTAAAAGCAGTCAAGCAAACAGGGTCAATATTTGCTCTCGACATATTCAAATGAATTAATCGCCTTGTGGGGAAAGAGCTGAAGAGATGAGGGTCCCAAAAGAAGATGCTGATACCACTTCAATTTACACTTATATTACCCTCAGGACATTACCAACACAACATTACGCACCAACTTCAGTTAATTGCTGATTCATGCAGAAACTCCTAAGTTCTATAAATGCACACCATTAAAAAAAACTTGTAAAAGAATGCAAAAAGGTATGCAAAATGAATATATGATCTATGCAGTGATTTTGATAAAATGCAGTTTGGAAAAAAACAAAACAAAACTTAAAGTTTGAAACTGAAAGATGGTTTAACAAAGTTTGTCATCTCTTCTTTTCGCAGCAGATTTTCAAACATCAAACGTTTGCAAAACCAGAACAAACCCCGTGTTTTCAGCACAGAAGCGACTCAAGCGGTGCGATACTCACAGCTCGGACGTCTGTATGTGCCGGGCCGTTCCCTCGATGGTGTTGCAGTAGTCGCTGGCAAACTTGGTGACGATCTGCAGCAGCGTGGCGCTTTGGTCCTCCACCGGCTGACCGTAGCTGTTGAGCCGCGCCTGGTACTGCGCGCTCAGCACCGTCACCCTGGTCTTCAGCTCCGGCAGGCAGTCGCGGATGTGGTGCATGAGCAGCCGACTCAGAGTCTTGGCCAGGTAGCGGGAGCCAGCGCGGGACGCGAGCGACGGGTAGTAGCGCTGCAGGAAGGCTTGCTCATCCTTCATCGACTCCTCTAGGCTCTTCTGGGTATTGATGTCATGCTGGCTCCTGGGAAGAACGGAGAGAGCTGGAGTTAGGTAAGTCATCCAGAGTAATAAGAACATTAAACAGAACGGACACCATTAATAAACTTAAAAGGAGCTTAGATCATTAAACACAAGTTCATTATTTCAAACCTGTTAACCACTCCAATAATCCCCAGCCTGACAGGAATGACTCGACCCAGTAGAACCTCCAGTGCATCGGTTCCTGCATCCATCAGGTCCAGTTTGCTGATCACCAACAGTGTTCGACGGCCTGACAGATACAAATTTACAATAATAGCCTAGCCAGCAGTAAAACACTCAATGATGCATGAGAGGACACACATTACAAGTGGTGGGATGAATTTAAAGTGTGCAGAGGAAACATTTGATATAAAGTTATTAGTTCACCATCACTGTGTACAACACTTCAATAAGAGTCCACTACCTTCCTGATTATTATTATTATTATTATATAGCTCTCTTATCAACTTTCCCAGTCAATAAAATGCATTATGACAGCAACATTCATTTTTAATGCAACTCTTGAGTATACAGACTTTCAATATCAGCAGCATGAAATCTTTCCGCATTTATATCCGAAAGCCATCAAGCAGGTAATGCGTAACGAGAGAGAAGGAAAGCAGAACGACTAACCATCAGGATCAACCTCACGAGCCAATTTTAGAGCATCGGACGTGGCCAAGTCGGAGTTGGCAGGAGAAACCGCGAGGATGAGGCAGTTTGGATTGGAGATGAAGGACAGGATCATCTCCTGCACTTGAGTCTCGATGTCTTCTGGCTGATCTCCAACAGGAACCTGAGGTGACAAACAATAAGCAGCCAGCGTTACTGTAACCACAGCGTGGAGGCTGTGAGGATTATAAACACAAAATTCAATCAGAACTAATACGATCTAATAAGATCCTAGAGGCTGTTTACCTTTGTAATTCCAGGTAAATCAACCAAAGTGAGGTTAAGAACATTGGGGGAGAAAATCTTTAAATAAATGGGCTCAGGACTGATTCCCTGGAAAACACAAGAATAACACTCATTTGTCAAAAAAGCTTAAAACGTTTGCATTAAGTTCACATGAAACGATTCTTTGCACCTTGTTGTCACCTAAACTCCGTTCAGTTTCCGATTCAATTTCCTGACGGATATCCTGAAAGTCAGTGAAGGTCTGTAAAACAGGGAAGCGAACGACTCGTCACTTCAACTCAGTACACAACACATGACACAATATGCATTTCCACACTAAACATACCTGGTTTTTGCAGTGCAAAAATGTACCCCATTCTTCAGCTTTGACTCCTGAACCAATGAGAGTAAAGTTAAGCTGTTTTACAGAGAAAGCAGGTAAAAACTAGAGCAACGAGCATCACATGTTCACAACTTAAATCATGCTTGATATGTAACATTATGAGTGATCATAAGGAAGAAAAGCGTTCAGGAAAGAAACAAAGATAAGATTATATAGATCAAAACATACAGAGACCTGGATAGTTGTTTTTGGCATTTTGTGTAACCCCATTTCCTGATAGGTAGAGGAAGAAAAGAGGAAGAAAATCAGCATGTTAGCGAAGAAAAGGCAAAGACTGACAAGAAAAAAGGAGTTTGAAACAGTGAGTTAAAAGGTGGTGTCCATGTTACTTGAAACTGCTGATAATTGACATTTATTCAAATCAAACCGGTCTACATAACATGCTGAAGCGAAGACACACAAAATAAAGAGATGCATATTTGGGTACCAGTCTCAGCCTTTAATCTGTCCTTCAGAGGAGGAACATTAACAAGCTGCAAGACCAAAGGGCGTCTTGTGACGATTCCAGATCCTCGAGGCAGGAAGTCCCGTATGACCAGACTTTCCAGTACGGAACTTTTGCCACTGCTCTGTAGTGGCACACAGTGGCAGCAATATAACACAGATGTGGTCATACGATCTGCATTTTGTGCTACATGAACACATCATCCAGATTATTTCAGCAAGATACAGTAACTTCATTTCCCTCATTTAAGTAAGGATTTGTTTTCACCAACTCACCTGAGATCCCACCACAACTATCTGAGGTAGTTGAATGATCTCAGCTCCCACAGTCAGGAAGACCTCCTGCAGCCGGTTGATGGTGGGAATCAGAGTTTCCATCCTTCCAGCTCACCAGTCACACCTAAAGTGTTAAAGAGACGTGAGCTGAAAGAAAGCACAGCAAATTAACTCAAGTTACTGTTTTAATTGTCTGACACTAGGGTCCAATCAGAACAAAAGTGTGTTCTGAATTGTGACTGTGCTAAAATACGCTTTAAATAAAAAGAGTTTGGTCTGTAGAGAAACAGTGTTGCTTCATCAGTAGAAGTGGTCCTGATGAGAGAGAGAGGGGGGAGAAACGCCCCGGCCCCATTCAAACCAACACCATTCATCCATGCTATTAAAGCAGGGGTTTTAAATACCACAGCATCTTATGATAATGATAAATAAGCCTATGATACGGTTCAACAAATGGTAATAACAAAGGCCCAAAGAGTCGGCATTATCGCTAAAACTAGCTGCCACAGGCAGGAAGTGAAGGATGTGAGACTGAGCTTCATGCTAAAGCTAGTTTAGCCGCCAAAACGAACACAACGTTTCGCACTCACCTTATTATCAAAACTGTCTCTTATCCAGCTTGTCGGCTCATCGTGCTTTAAGAAAACGAGCAGTAAGTTTTAAAAAACCTCATCTGAACAGAATATCCTAAATTCAGCAGCGAAAACCACAAACCGTCTGTCAAACACAGAGGAGGTACCCTTTTACGGTTCCTCAATCTGATTGGTCGAAAATAAGCGTCACTGCGCATACTCGCGACTGATTGGTTGATACGTTGGTTTTTAGTTCCGCCCTCTGAAGCCGATAAAATGTAACTTTCTATTTCAATGGCTTATGAA